TCACCTGCTGCTTCTGCACCCTCAGGCGGCGACACAGCACTCTGCGCAGGTGCTGCACCTCTGCCCTCACGGAGCACCGCACAAACCTCTGCTGGGGACACGGGGAGACATCACTGCACCCCCAAGGCCGCGCAATCACAGATGGGGGCCAAGCTTATTCCATGCTGGGGCTCCTCTAGGGGGTGATTATGTGATGTTTTTGTGTTTTGTGTGTCTTTTTTTGGTGTCCTGAGAGCAAGGGTGCTGTTTAGGGGGGTGGAGGCAGTGGGGGGGCAGGGCCCCTCCAGTTACCTGAGTTGAAATTGCAAGTAATTGGCAAGATCAGCATTCTCCCAGAACTTTGTACCTTTGCATAAGTGGTTTGTTGGTACCCTATAAGTAGCCAAAATAATAGGTTATGTGTGCATCAGATAAGCGTGTTAACAAATAAGGTAAGCAAGAGGCATTTTTTTGCCCCTCCAAGTACAAATATAAAACTGAGCCTATGTCAGAGAGCTGCTGGCTGCCCTGATTCGCCGGTACAAACAGCTAACAAGGTGCGCCCTCTGTTGGTCTATTTACATATACACAGCCTGGGTAAAAAAAAAGTCGCTATTTTAATTTATATCAGCAAATACTTAAGAGCCAATGACTGGATCATTATTACAGCCCAGCAACATTATGCAGCAATAAAGTGAAGTCAGCTGAGTACCTGAATCTACTGGCCAGGTTACACCTCCATCCATCATCAATGGATGTTGGCATGGGCATATTCCAGGACAAGAATACCAAGATTTATTGGGTTTGAATTGTCAGAGTGGTTCAAGGAGCATGAGGAATCATTTTCACGTGTGACTTGGTCACCACAGAGTTGTGACCTTAACCTCATTGAAGGTCTTTGGGATGTGCTGAAGGAGGCTTTATGGAGGTTCAACTCACTTGTCAATACAGGATCTCGGTGAGAAATGAATGCAAATCTGGATGAAAATAAAGGGTGAGATGTTGCATAAGCCTGTGGAAACAATGTCATTACAAATATGCGCCATAATCAAAGCTAAAAGCAAATGGCGACTTTTTTTTTTTGGCCAGGCAGTGTATTTTTTTCTAAAACAGCAATTGTGAACAGTATTCCTGCCACTATTTTTTGTACAAAATAGCTCATGTGCATGTGAAATTATGTTCCATAATATTGTTTTTGTAATCGATTAAAAAGGTATTTTTATATCAATGCATTACTAAGGGTTACTTTAAAATGTAAAACCAGTTCATCAGCAAATAATGTGTAAAAAACAAACAAAAAAAAAACTACCACAATTTAAGTGTTTCTTAAGTGTTTAAGTGTTTCTTAAAATTAAGAAAAATTAAGATTTGTCTCCATCTGAATACCTTCAGGTCCCTGATGCCCAAACACGGTCATCACACTATGGCATGGCTTTAGTGTGGATCAGTCAGTGATTTTTGTGTAGATTAAACCAGGTTTGCTGCTGAATATATTCAAGATGCCTGAAATTGGACCACATAATCTTTGAACAATGTACAAGTTTAAACCTTCGCACTTAAACTTGTGAAAGTGATATGTACTGCATTCTCATTCATACCATTCATACCCATTAGTCTTCAGCTCCTTAACTAAAACATAAGTAGCTGATACATTTTAAGTAAGGAATAATTGACGACGGGCCGTTGAATTATTAGAAAAATAAAGAAAACCCGAGGTGGTAATGCGGCCACGACGCGAAGCGGAATAATTCAACGGTCCGGAGTCAATTATTCCGCTTATACTACGGTTGCCACACCTCAAGACATCGATCAGATGATATATTTCAAGGGATTCGTCCGGTTTTTCTACTTAAATCGCTATTGTGAGTAGGATTATTTCTTCCGCATCTCATCCAACGACTCTTTTGCTAGTTCCAAAACGTCATTAGCTGTTGTTTTTTTGGTGTTTTCTTCGTGTTTTTCTCCCTCGAGTATGTCTAGCTGTTCTTCGCTGATCGTTTTATGTCTTTTGTTGTTGCTGGCTGCCTTTGATGTCCGCTTCCGTTTATGTTGTTTTTCATCTGGACTGTCTAATACTGCTGCAGCCCAGTTGTTGAAAGTTTCATATTCACCGTAAATATCAAAATTTACTTTCGGAAAATCGTCTGTCATGTTGTTGTTTTTGTTAGTCCTGTGTGCTGTATAGGTACTGTATGCTAATTTCCGTTATTAAAGTTAACTATGCGAAGTGATATGGAACTGTAATACGGTCAAGAGAGCTGCCTGGAACTACGTTCGCCGTGCGTTTCCCTGAAAATAATTGCACACCTCAGAACGTTCGTCAGCCAATCAGATTCAAGCATTCAACGGTCCCGTAGTATAATATGAATTAAAGCACACTGTTCAGAATTGTTTATCGTTTACCTGTTGTACCAGCTTGATTCTGTCTTTGCCAGGTAGCGATGATGAACTATAGAAAAAAGGGGGAAAAGCACAATATGATTAAAGGCCAATAAGAAGATAAGCCAAGACTTAAATACCTATTATATTCCTGGCTGTCTTTGACAGCATATCCATCTATGGACCATGTGACAGGTGCAGTATTTTTCATAGTCCGACGTTATATAAAAGTTTTTTTTTTAGTTAGATAACTAGTTTGAAATGATCGATCAAGTTTATAGTTCAGGATCTAGTCCCTAAGTTTAGATCCACTGAGATGTATAATTGACAAAGAAGGGAGATATACAGATAGCACTGAGATGTTATCATTCACCTTTAATTGATGTAATACTGAGAGAGACTGTATTTAATATACAACATGTTACAGCATCACTAATTAACAATATTCAGCTGAAGTAAAAGAACTTTTATACTTTTTAAAAGGGAAATTCTATTCCGTTATATCATTTTAAAGCTGCTTATAAAACTGTAATAAAATTGTACTAAAGACAGAATTAAATTTTTATTTCTGCCAAATTCTTTGTATAAAACCCAGGTTGTTACTTTTTTCCCCTAGAATGTACATAGATGACAGCTTGGGCAACTGATAAAGCTTTTATACAAATGTATAAATGTTTATACAGTAATTCATAATAGTCACAAAAGGCCCTTTTTATTTAATGGATATTGTACCTAGATACAATATTTCAAGTCTACATATCCTTATTAAAAGCAGATTTTTGTGATGTATGGAAGAAAAGTCTAAAGGATGGCAGAAAAGTGGTGTAATCTTGTTATTCGTTAATGGACTAATGAAACACCCCTACGGGAGTGATGTGTCGCGACACACTGGGCATCGAGCTGTGCTACACATGGAGCTATGGAGCTGCAGATCAGCCTTGTTGGTCCTTAGAACCCCACAGCTGCTCGGGATGTACCCAGCTGTCCACAAGATGCAAGTGAAAACAGGATTCATCAGGCTAAGTGGCCGTCTTCCATTGCTCCAAGGTCCAGTGGACAGGGGTCAGCATGGGCACTTTGACTGGCCTCAGCCTATGTAGCCCTAAGCCACATTACTCCCACAAACACCATCAGAATTATGTTGGTTTGTACCAGAGGACAGCCTGCGTTCACATCTAACATGGACCCTGGCCACCAACACCCAGTCAGCAGTCTGTGGTTTTTCCCTCCTCAGACCACTGTCAGCTGCTACTCACCACCAGTTCCCCAAAAGCCTTGCCGTTTCAGAAATGTTCTGACCCAGCGGTTTGGCCATAATGATTTGGCCCCTGTCATGAGGTAATTTCTTGC